AGGGGGCTGGAGGAGGTGACAGAGATAGGGAGGGGGTGTAGGGGGCTGGAGGGGGTGACAGATATAGGGAGGGGGTATAGGGGCTGGAGGGGTTTACAGAGATAGGGAGAGGGTGTAGGGGCTGGAGGAGGTGACAGAGATAGGGAGGGGGTGTAGGGGGCTGGAGGGGGTGACAGATATAGGGAGGGGGTATAGGGGCTGGAGGGGTTTACAGAGATAGGGAGGTGGTGTAGGGGGCTGGAGGAGGTGACAGAGATAGGGAGAGGGGTGTAGGGGCTGAAGCACAGGGTTCAAATGAAATAGCATGCATACCAGTGATAGTGCAATCTCACTCTCTGTCCTCCATGCCTCAGGCACATCTTATGATCAGGGGAGTGAGGTCCCAAAAGAAATTTCCCTTCACTTCGAAAGTACAACCCTCCTGATCTCCCCACTGGCCCGTACCCCTCCAGGTGTTAACTCCTTCACTATACGCTGCTCTGTTCCCCTGAGGAACTTGCGTCAGGTATGATTTGCCTGGATAGAATGCAAAACAAAATTTTTCACTGTATCTCGGTACATGCGACAGTAACAAATCAAAACTGCCCTCCAAAGTGTGCTGCCAAATCCCATCGGATATAGACCTGTCGAGTGCCCTTGCCTTCCATCATCCTGTTATTCCCCTCCCCACATTAATAGGATAAATGAAAATTGGTGGGGCAGGGAGGTGTGTTTAGAGAAAGGTACATTTTTAAATGCACTGTCATTTTGCTCCCTGATTAATTTGCAAAATTTGTTCGTGAAGCTGGGTGTGATTCTCTGGGCAATTGGAAAAGCCATTATCCCCAACTGATTTATCACGCCCTTACATTGTTTGCAATCACAGAACTAGTTTAACCAGACAGCATCATAGGGTTGGGGGGTGGGGGTCATACAACACGAAAACAGACCCTTGGGTCCAACTCATCCAAGTTCACCTGGTTTTCCAAACTCAACTAGCCCTATTTGGCCTGTGTTTGGCCCATATCCCTCCAAACCTTTCCTGTTCAGGATGTCTTTCAAACGTTGTAACTGCACCCATATCTACCACTTCCTCTGGCAGTTCCTTTTCCTTACTCGCACCACCTCGGAACCTTTTTAAATCTTTCTCCTTTCACCTTAAAAATACACCCTGTGGTTTTGAACTCCCTTACCTTAGTGGGGGGGAAAACTTTTGCTATTCACCCTATCCATGCCCCTCATGATTTTACAAACCTCTATAAGGTCACCCCTCAGCCTCTTACACTCCAGTGGGAAAGCGTCTGAACCTCTCCTTGTAACTCAAGCCCCGGTCACATCCTGGTAAACCTTTTCTGCACCCTCTCCAATTTAATAATAGCCTTCCCTATAGAATAACCGTAGTCCTTGCTGGCTCCCCGAGAGATAGAGATGAAAGAAAGCCCTCACCATGATCCCACCTCCGAAGATCCCTCCAAGGTACAACACCTCCGGCGTCAATTTGCTGGTGTCCTGAACATAATCCAGTTGAAAGTTGGGGAAAAACAGCAGGAGGTTTGCCACGATGCAGCAGAATGCTAACGGGTACAAGGAAGCCCCGATACACTTGGCGCATTTTCCCGTGCACATCTCCCCGACAGAGCTGATAGTGCGTACGCACCAAAATGAGCAGCCAGAGGCTTAAGCAACAGGGGTTTTATAGAGCCAGGACGCCACAGGGATGATAAACTGGGTGGTTACGTTTCCTGTTAAGAGATAGCTGGCTTCCAAATCAGGTCAGTGGTGAGTGGTATGGGGCACTGTGCAGGGTTTTTATTTCTCTGTCTCTCCTTCCTTATCTCTATTTGCTTTGCTTGCCTGCATTGGTGGGGAAATGACAGTTACCAGAGAGATGCATTACGTGTAAGGGTTGCAGAGCGAAAACCTTGAACCTGCAGATAAAGCGATCAATGCTCCTGGTCCCATAAACGATTAACGTGCTCTCGTGTTGAGCTCATAGCGCAGTTAGGCGGAACTCCCCCTGTACTGTACATGGAACAGTGCAGCACAGTACAGGCCCTTCGGCCCACGATGTTGTGCCGACCCATTATCCTACTAAGATCAATCTACCCTGCATACCCTACATTTTACTATCCTCCATGTGCCTCTCCAAGAGTCGCTTAAAAGTCTCTAAAGTATCTGACTCCCCCATCACCCTCTGTATAAAGAACCTACTCCTATACCTTCCTCCAATCGCCCTAAAATAATACCTCCTCGTAATTGTCATAAAAGTTCCGAGTGCACCAGAAAACACCCACATGCCCTATGACTTCTCCAGGACTCAGGAGAAAAGATGCAGCGGGGAGAAGGAACGGCTAATTTGCTCTCACAGAGGACTATCACAGATTGGACGGGCTGAATGGTCTCCTTGCGCACTGTGACCATTGAATGTGCCTCAGCTTTGGGCACTCGTGACTCCCAGTTTCTGTTTGCCTATAATAAAGACATTACAGTAAATCCCTGTGAGATCTAACTATCCCAAAGACTGACGACATCCCTGTAACTCGATGCTTGGCTCCAGCCTGACAACTCATTGTCAAATAAATCAAGTCTTTCCTCGTTCTTTGCGAGCCTAGCAGAGGGAGAGGGTCAATGGCACCGTATGACCTTGAGCGCATTAATCGCCCAAGGGTGGAGTTGCTCAAAGGGGCATTCATAGGTGACCACATATCCATTTCCCTCCACCAGTCCCCAACACAGAAATAGGCCATGTGGCCCATCTACTCCATGCTAGTGTTTCTGCTCCACCGAACTGCCCCTCCTTTACCAACGCACCCTCCTTACATTCCTCGTGTGTTTATCCAGCTGGTGCTCAAATAGACCTCACCTTGTCCACTCCGTGTGGGAGAGAGTCACACCTTCTCAGAGCATAAAGGCTTCTTCTGAGTCCCCCACTGGATTTATTCGTGACCTCATGTTGTTGGACCCTGGTTCGGGGGTATCTCTTCAGCAGCTGCCCTGTCAAAATAACTTTAAATAAACGAAAATCCCAGAAAGTGTTGGAGAAATTCAGGAGGTCTGGCAATATCAGTGCAGAGAAAACTGTCACACATTCTACCAGACCTGCTGAGTTTCTTCAGCAATTTTGATTTCTTGTTGGTTTCAGATCTCCAGCGGTGCTTGGTTTTACAATAATTTCGAAGACACCTCACCCTCAGGGCGCACCTCAACGTCCTCTTTTCTGGAGTAAATATGGAGCCTCAGGATGTTCTCAATTGGTGCAACAGTGGCTCAGTGGTTAGCGCCGCTGCCTCATAGTGCAAGGGACCCGGGTTCGATCCCACCCTCGGGCAACTGTCTGTGTGGCGTTTGCACATTCTCCCCGTGTCTGCATGGGTTTCCTCCCACAGTCCAAACATGTGCAGGTTAGGGTGGATTGGCCGTGCTAAATTGTCCCATAGTGTCCCAGGGATGTGCAGGTTAGGGTGGATTGGCCGTGCTAAATTGTCCTACAGTGCCCAGGGATGTGCGGGTTAGGGTGGATTGGCCGTGCTATAGTGTCCCAGGGATGTGCAGGTTAGGGTGGATTGGCCGTGCTATAGTGTCCCAGGGATGTGCAGGTGAATTAGCCATTGGAATTACAGGGATAGGGGGTGGTACACAAGATCTGAGGGAATTCCCCGCAGTGTGGAAGGAGGCCATTCGGCCCAGACCAACCCTCCATAGAGTGTACCACCCCCTATCCCTGTAATTCCAATGGCTAATTCACCTGCACATCCCTGGGACACTACGGGACAATTTAGCACGGCCAATCCACCCTAACCTGCACATCCCTGGGCACTATGGGACAATTTAGCACGGCCAATCCACCC